CCCTAGGGGCCGCCAGTCGACATTGTTTGGCCGACGGCACCCGGAGGAGCCCCTCTCCATGGGAGCGTACTGGATGATGGGAGGCTATTGGTGGTAGCAGGCGGTCCCGTAGATAACCAGGTCCTAAGCCATATAGTCAGGTAAACCAGATAGTCTTGTGCGCTGGTTGCGTGTAAAACAACAGTTAATGACTTACTGGCTGCATGTGAAAACTTACACTTCCTTTCTTACAACCTGGTATATAACCATCTCACCAAAACAATTAAGTTCTATTTTTTTGAACAGTTATATTCTCCCCCAAGGGAGGGGCACCATTCCTGGAAGTACTGCAATACCAGGCTGATGCTTGGAGTGGATAGAGCAAGCCCTGAGTCCATCTCCCAGTTCCAAAAACCCATTTAATACATAGCTCTCAAATAGAGAACATATCAGATATTAAACTGATAAGAACAGATACTACACTTGATCTTAGCCAAAAGGCCGAGAAGCGATAAGCCAGGAAAGGTCAAGGCAAAAGCCCACCTTTTCAAAGCAACATTTTGGTAACTGTGAGCAAACTCAAGCTGCTGAGCATGTCACCCATTTTGTAGTAGATATTGTTTGTAATCTTATCAGACTTATTCTGTGAATATTCTTACGTTCATTGCCCAAGGAAGTAGCCGTCTGTTATAAAATAAGTCAGAAATTTTGAAAAAATTTTACCCATATGCATTTCTTGAATGCCTGTATGAGTATTCTGACTGTGATTGGATTGAAATCTGCATAAGCCTTCCCATTCTCTCCATGATGTTTTGCATAGCTGTTATTCATCTGCCTACCAGTAGAGGTCGCAGGAGTTTTTCCTTTACTGTAAGGTTTAGTGTGCTTCCAGGAGCATGATGACATTTCCTGTACACATTGGATTTCACAAGTCTGTTCCAAAATACTTAGTTGTAATAAGAAACTTTGCTTGCTCTTTCTTCAAGTTTTGATCTGATCACAGAATGCATGCCTATTCTGAACGAAGGTGGCGGTTTTATTTACTTTCTATAATCAGCCATTCCTGCCAGATTGTCACCCACACCCCACACCCCACACCCACATCAGTCTCCCAATGAGTAATAAATATCTTTGGGAAAAGTAGTCTTGAGAACCAGGTGGAAAACAGAACAGAAAACAGGATAATAAATAAAATAATAGAAGCTGTTGTCGTTCTGTTGCTTTATGGCAGTTTTAAGGGCTTAACCAATTTAACTTGGCCCGTGGATCAGTTCTTTATGAATATGAGCAAAAAGAATGTGCATTTCTGTCAAAAGAACTTTATAAACACATTGCTAATAATTATTAACCTGGAACATAAAAAACCTTTGTGGTGCAGATTAATAGTTCACTTTTGAACACACTATAATCTGATAATCCGGTTAAAAACACTTTCAGGTTGAGGAAAAGTACAAAGGAACAATAGGATAGAAAAAGCAGAGAGAGTAAAGTTAAAAAATATTGGGGGAACAAACTCAGGAATGAAGTTACAACTGAGAAAAAAAAAATTAGAACCCAGGAAGTTGGAACAGTATTTATTATGGTATAAAAATTGTAGAGTCAGGGAGGATAAATTGAAAGGTCTAAAGGTAGATCAGAAATTTGCTAAACTGCAGTTGAAATTAGGAGATAAGCCCTTTTTTGTTGTTTTATTTGATTAGATTGCTTTAATGTATGTTGTCCATAGATCTTTTATCTGAATTAATTATTCTGTTAAGATAACTACATAGACAAGGGGTGAGAAAGTTTATAAAGAGTGTAATCTTTATACTGTTGAAGTAATTGGTGCTTGCTTTCGTTTATCTATGAAACTACACCAAAAGCAGTTGCAAATGCAATAAAATGAAAGATAAACAAATTTCAGTTTTCAAAGTGCACCTCAGCAAATTGTTCCTTCCTTGCTCTACCCCCCCCCCCCGTTTAGACTTTTAATTTCTAGAAACCTAGTTAATACTGTGCTGATTGGGAATGAGTTGTCTTGCCCTAATAAAAATTCACTCTCAGCTCCTTTGGTGGTTTGGCCCCATGCAAACATTTTTAGCTAGAGATCGGCTCCACATTTACATGGGGCAGTTGTGTGCCTGTGTGGCTTACCTTTGGATTCCGCGTGTCTGTTAAAAAGTTGATTGTCGTCTTCAGTCAACAAACAGGTTGTCTTGTTTCTTTCCATTCACAGGGTGCCACCCCAAAAGATGGGCCCAGTGCTGGCTGCACGATTGTAACTGCCTTATTGTCGTTGGCATTAAACCAGCCTGTGAGGCAAAATGTGGCCATGACTGGGGAAGTGTCGTTGACTGGGAAGATTCTCCCTGTGGGAGGCATCAAGGAGAAGACCATTGCCGTAAGTGGAAACTGCGCAGTCCTTCTGCTAGCAGTTGGTTCAGAAAAACTTGATGGCTTGCTTCCCTGTTGTAAAGTTTACACACAGTGTCTATTCCTGCACTTTATCCAAGAGGGTTATATGGCATTCAGGTTTCCAAGCAACAATTAAATCTACAAAATGGGAGTAGAGCAAATCTCTTCCGTCTGTTATATCCCTCTTCCCATTGTGGGTGGTCTTCTGTTGCCAGAGATTTGGATCAGAGCAACATTAGGATCCGTGCTTAGGGAGGTATCAGATTTCTAGTCGGTCGCTGTGTATCTACTGGTGGAAGAGATTGCCATAGCCCTTATCTGATCCAGCAAGGATTTTTACTGTATACCTTAGAACATTAACTCAATCATTTAATACCAATTGTTAAGTTGCTTAAAAGTTCTTGAATACACTTTTCAGAGGGGATTTATAAGGGCTGAATTGGCTCAGTTGGATTTTACTTGTTAAAAATACTGTTTTTATGAGCATCATGACCTACAAAGGTCCAAGGAAGGGTAGAGCACTGGAGAACTGGGTTATTCAGGGGCTATGTAATACATTCTTGTAAGAGCCTTGGTGGCGCAGCAGACTAAAGTGCTGTTAAGTAGCACCAGCTGCCTGCAATTACTGCAAGTTCAAATCTCACCAGGCTCAAGGTTGACTCAGCCTTCCATCCTTTCGAGGTAGGTAAAATGAGGACCTGGTTTGTGGGGGCAGTAAGCTGACTTTGTATAAAAAAAGAACACCGCTTTGGGGGGGGGCGAAAGCCCTACTAAGCAGGTATATACAAAAAGTATGAAGGCTATTGCTTAACGCATTGTAAGCCGCCCTGAGTCTCCGGAGAAGGGCAGCATATAAATCGAACCAATAAATAAATAAATAAATCATCTGTGATCCATCTGAGTGGCTGCTAGTTAGGAGCTATTCAGTACTTTTTCTTTCTCCTTTTATCACGAACAGTAGGGTACAGTGTCAGCCCTGGAGGCCATCGTTTTCTTTGGATCTTCAGGGCTGCCAGACTCGGGTGGATGGGCATGCTGTGGGAACGGGGCGGGGGGGTTGGATGGTGACGGGGTGAGATGTATAGCCATAACAACATTCCTTCACTGGGAGTCAAGGATGTTCAGCCTGCACCTGGAGGGGCCTGACTGGGAAACAAGTCGTTAGGATGGTAGCCTTATTGGACCATGTGGTGCAGGGGAAGGGACTTTTATTTTCCTTTGGGTGGGGAAAACCTGGGAGACTTTCAGATTTGGGTTTTCCCAGAGGTGCCAATTTGACATCTCTAATTTTAAGTGGAACTTTGAGGAAATGCCTGCCTCGGAGTCTTACTTGGAACCCTGACATACAATTCAATGTAAGTATTGACGATTGAGCTACCAAAATAATTTAAGGGATTGTAGATTAGAGTACAGAAGTATTTGCTGTTTCCAGGTAACTTTCATAGCCTGGAATATCTTCTCCTTAATAAGATATTTTATGATCTGGTCTCAGGGTTAAGAGCACAGCACAGGGCCTGACCATGGGAGGGCAGAAACCCGAGGCCAGGGGGAAGACCTTGTTTCTCAACATTTCCTCCCTTTTTCCCCCTAGGCCAAGAGAGCTGGTGTCTCCTGTATCATTCTCCCATTAGAAAACAAAAAAGATTACTGTGACCTTGCTGAATTCATCACGGAAGGACTTGAAGTACATTTTGTCGAACATTATAAGGAAATCTTTGACATCGTTTTCTCTAAGTCGGATTCTCCAGGAAGGTGAACCGCTGCTGGGGTTCCCTCTCGCCTTCCCACTCGCTCCACTCTGGAAGCAACATGTGCAGGCTCAGCAGAGGGGGTGAGGGGTGGGTTTGACTCCTGCGATGGCCTGCTGCCCATGATGATGGCTTTGGTTTCCTATTCCTTTAGTCACTCTGAAATATATTCTACTCCAACCGATCTGAATTATGAACCAATTGCAGTGTTTCCTGTGACCCAGGACTACAAGACTAGACTGAAGATCTGTGAGGAAGTCTACTCCTCCTCGCCTTTCTCAAATGTATTTTCTTATTAGAACTTATAAAATCCAGATTCCGTTGTCTCTTGGTACTTTTCTACTAGCACTTTATGAAATAAAAGCGGAGGTATATTTAGATCGCCTCTGGACAGTATAACCAGTGATAAGGGCAAAAGGCCTGGGTTGGAGAAACTTGTATCCTGTACACAGATCTCGATATAATAAATTTGATTATTCCCCATGGGACAAAAACAAAATCGGCCAATCTTTAGTAGGATACCCCTCCAGCAAGCTGGTAATGCTGCCCATCTGGAAGATGATGTCACCTGAATTATCTGTTGCCCACTGTGCTGTATTTGGCACAATATGCTAAATTATACATCAAGTAAAAAGATATAGCAATTGCACTCATATGACATACTAAAGCTCAAACAAAACTTCACTATGTCTAAATGTAGTCTTTAGACACGTGGTATATCTTAAAGTCTTGTTGATCTGCATGGTTTAATGTTACATAAGCAGGCCTTCCATCACTCTGTACATTTCAGGGTGATGATGATCACCTAAACCACCCCAAGGTGAGCTTTTCAACTCTGAATTTATAACCACCTAATCCAAAGAATATTCCGCACACTGCTGGGCTTCTGAAATAAGCTTTATTGGGAACCAGGATGCAGAATTCAGTCCTTTTTGGCTGCTGCTTTCCTCATGGCTGCCAGGACGTTGCTGAGTTCTTCACGCTTCCTCTTGGCACGAATGTGAGTCCCTACCTGTGAGGATAAGGAGCAAAATGTGTTGGCATCTAAGAGCTAGAAACTTGGCAGAAAAGAACAGACTTGTGTGATGGAAACTGTCTGGAGAATATGCTGATTAGAAGAAAAAGGGGGAAAAAAATCATTCTGGCCAATATGTCAGGGATCCAGCCTCATCCTCTTCCCCTGTTTCTTCCAGGATAAGGAAAACATTTTGGAGTAACAAAAGGCCAGGCCTTTAAGAGACGCTAGGTCTGACTGGAACATGGCTGATGTTCACCAGGGTCAGACAACTTAATTATCCTGGCTGTTTTGGATTGCCTCCCAGCCACTTTTACAACAGCCGTCAGATCTTAGTTATTTCTGGATCAAGGAAAGGAGCTCTTGAATCAAGCTCAACTCCCCGTGACGTAAATAAGCACAACCATGCAGTTTTCTTGAGAGCAATACAAGCAAGTTGATAAGATCCAATTCTGGGATTCTTTGCCCAACAGCCCTCCTGGCAATTTTTAAAGGTCTGTCACCCAAGGGACAATCGGGCTTGATGCTGCTTCGCTTTATAGCACTGAAACCAGCTAGGCTAATCTTAACTGCAAAGGGGGCAAATGGGCTCCTTTCTCAACTGGAACTGGGTGATGTGACCTCTCCTTCCAGGCGCTTTGTTCACTGTGGCAATGAATGAAATGAACGCAGGAACACAATCCCCCCACACGGCACAAAGGAAAAACACCGTCCTCTGATGGTTCTGCCTTCAAGGGACAACCTGACAGACGCCCAAAGACCCACCCAGCTGCTCTGCGCGACACTCACCCTTTTCTTTATGAACTTCAGAGCTCTCTTGTCTTTGGAGACTTTGAGCAACTCCATTGCTCGTCTCTCGTATGGCGCAAAACCACACACTTCTCGGATCATGTCCCGTACAAATTTGGTGTGTTTGGTCAGCCGCTGTTGGGAGGGAAAAAAAAAAATAGTGCAACTGATTTCCATAAGGAGGCGCAACTGGTTATTAGAAAGAAAAGTTCCCACGTAGGGGCCTTCTACTTTTAGCATGTCTTTAAAGCCTTCCCTAAGGTGGTGCCATCCAGATGTACAACTTTCAGAATTCCAGGGTAGCATCAGGATAGGAAGACTACAACAATAAGAGAATAAGAACCAAGGAGGTAAGTCAAAGGCCTGTTGTCCTAGGCCCAGTGATGACTAACCTTTTTGCCATCGCATGCCAAAAGCAATGGGGAGCATGGGGGGGGGGGGTCAAGCGTGCACGTGCCCACACCCATAATTCAATGTGCCCCGCCCCCCATGCATGCACGTGCGACCCCGCTTTTGGCAGATGATGGCACGGTGGGCCCGGTAGGCCCATTTTTTGCCCTCCCCAGGCTCCAGAGGCTTTCTAGGAGCCTGGGAAGGGCAAAACAGCCTTCCCCGCTACCCTGGAGGCCAGAAACGGCCTGTTTCCCGACTTCCAGTGGGCCCGAAACGCCCAAAAGTCAGCTGGCCAGTGCACGCATGCAGGCTGGAGCTGATCTAGGGCAATGCTTGAGTGCCCAGATATGGCTCCGCGTGCCATAGGTTCGCCATCACGGTCCTAGGCAGACTCTTCATCCAGAGGTATTGGGACAGACTGCTCCAAACTCTCACCATCTTGCATGCTATGATAGCTGTGTACGATGCTGCAAAGCATCCTCCAAGATAGGTTTGGAAGAACAAATCTGGAGTGATTTACAAGCATTCTTCTATAACGGGTCACCAACATCCAGGCCGTGGCCGGTTCAGAACTGGGCATGACCAAGTGCCCAAACTGTCCCAAAGGTGCTTTTCCAAAAGGCAACAGGACTTTTTTGAGGACTTGCCTTTTGGAAAAGCACTTTGGGACAACCATGACCTGGATGACTGAGACAATAATAGACCAGTGCCCAAATCATGATTACACGATCGTGGGAATGCTGCAACTTCAAGGACCAGTCATCAATCCCCCTTGTTCAATCCTGTTAACTTTGTACAGCTGCTGAGTGAGTGGTAAATGAGAACTATCTGCACTGATTTTGAAGAGGACACTTCTTATGAGAGCTCTGGTGGCGCAGTGGTTAGAATGCAGTACTGCAGGCTACTTCTGCTGACTGCAGAAGTAGCCTGCAGTTTGCATCTCACAGGCTCAAGGTTGACCCAGCCTTCCGAGATGGGTAAGATGAGGACCCAGATGATTGTGGGCAATATTCTGACACTGTAAACTGCTAAGAGAGGGCTGTAAAGCACTGTGAAGCAGTATATAAATCTAAGTGCTATTGTTATGCGGGATTTGAATGAGTGATCCCAAAATCCATTACCTTCTTTTAGAATAACTACTGTACTTTTCAGAGTATAAGATGCACTCCCCCCCCCCCAAAAAGAGAGGGTGGAAGTTTCTTATAAACCAAATACGGCCATTTTTGGCCTCCAGAAACCCCACTCCATGCATCCCGTTTTTGGCAATAACGGGCCCATTTTTTTACAAAAATGGGACGTGCAGAGGGCTTGGGAGGCCTGCAAAATGCTTCTGGAGGTTGGGGAGGGCAAAAACGGGACGCACAGAGGGCAAAAACTATTTTTTTTTTCTTTTCCTCTTCAAAATCTTGGTGTGTCTTATACTCCGGTGCATTTTATAGTCCGAAAAATACGGTAATCCTGACTTCATTTGGAAATTGTCTTGAAACAGATCAGACTGCCCATTTTCTGGGGGCTGTCTACTCTGAGGAAACTTCACCAAGCTTGAACAACTGCAACCACTCTTCCTATGTTTGTTACTAATATAACACCTAGGTACAAGCCACAGCCTTTTTCTATTAGAATCTTGTTAGCCATTTCTTTTTTCATGGCAACCTTCAAATGAGGTCAAACCCAAAGAACTTAAGGTGATTCGGAATGAGGAGGGCTTGCAAAGTCTGCTACTTCAGGGGTCCCCAATCCCCAGGCTGCAGACTAATACCGGTCCATGGGCCATTGGGATCCGGGCCACCCAAACTTTATTTATACATGTGCAGGAAACTGGGTTGCATGCACAAAACCATCCCTTCCCTCCCCCACTGTTGCTGGTCCATGGAACCAGAAAGATTGGGGACTGCTGTGGTACTTTTCCCATCTGTTCCAAAATCCAAACTTACCCCACGGCGTCGACAGTGTCGTGGCTTTGATACATTCTTGGTCACTTTGTGGCCTTTATTCAGGCCAACGGCCATTGGATATCGGATCGCCATGGCTAGAAAAGAGCAGAGAGAAGTTATGATTAGTCGTGTACTCTTTTGTTCCACCAATTCGCCCAAAGAGATGAGAGACAGCATGCTCTTCTACTCATGCCAAACAACTGACTAATATCCTTTCCTGGACTACCTCACAGGATTGTTTTTGTGGGAAAAGTAGGAGGAAGGAGCGTGTACATTGCTTTGAGTTACTTATGAGCCATGCTGGCACAGTGGTTAGAGTACAGTACTGTAGGCTATTTCTGCTGACTGCCTGCAATTTGACAGATTGAATTTCACCAGGCTCAAGATTGACTCAGGCTTCCGTCCTTCCGAGGTGGGTAAAATGAGGACCCAGATTGTTGAGGGCAAGAGGCTGACTCTGTAAGCCGCTTAGAGAGGGCTGTAAAGCACTGTGAAGCGGTATATAAGTCTAAGTGCTATTGCTATAAAGTAATAAAGGCGGGATAAAAATCTAATAAATAAAAATCCCTCTCTGCTTCCAATTACCGTATTTTCCGGTGTATAAGACAACTGGGTGTATAAGACGACCCCCGACTTTTCCTGTTAAAATATAGGGTTTGGGCTATACCCGCCGTATAAGACTACCCCTCTTCCAACGCACACCAAATAAAAATTAAAAAACATCAACTGACTCACCCACAATGTAAAAACAGCTGTGCTAGACCCAAAATGGCCCCTGCAACAAGCAGGAACCTCACACAACCACAAAATGCACAAAAAACCAACTTTCACTCTTTACACGCACAAAATTCCACATACAGCTTTGTGAGATTTTGTGTTTATGTAGAGTGAAATACTACAGAAACACACTAAATCTCAGAAAGCTGCACAAATATTATTTTATTTTATTTTAATTTTTATATGAAAGTTAAATTTAAAACTTCCTAAACTATAAATGGCTAGGTCTAAAAATGAACAACTAAAAAAAACCACAATTAACTATTTTTTTTAAAGCTCCCAAAGGGGAAAAACTGATAGTAAACAGGGGTTTCCAACCTTGGCAACTTTAAGACTTGTAGACTTCAACTCCCAGAATTCCTCAGCTAGCTTTCCTTTGCTGGCTGAGGAATTCTGGGAGTTGAAGTCCACAACTCCCTGCTTGCTTGATTGCAGGCAGGGAGTGGCTTGCTGATGGAATGGATTCAGGCAAGCGAAGCAAGGTAAGCGTTGCGACTAGCAGCTAAGGTAAGCAAGCTGGAGGGGGAAAACATTTTTCCTTTTACAACTCAGCAACTCAGCTGGGATAGTCAGAGCTTGGATTGCCAGAGCCATTTAAAGGGAAAAAACTTTTTTTCTTTTACATGGCTCTGGCGATCCAAGCTGAGTTGCCTGATTAGCAGGCAACTCAGCTGGGATGGTCAGAGCTTGGCTCGTCAGAGCCTTTTGGGCTGGTCTGCCTGGTTACAGGAGAACGACACCTGGCGTATAAGACGACCCCCAACTTTTTAGAAGATTTTCATGTGTTAAAAAGTCATCTTATACGCCGGAAAATACGGTAAATTTTCTTCAAGGAATGTGCAGCATTTCAGATCTGAAGGCAAGGTCCTTTGGAATGTAAACTCTCTGCAGCTCCATATATCAGTATATCTTTTCCTGGGATGACCCTATAGCAGCAGAGGACACAAGTACATATAGTCCTCAACTTACGACCACGATTGAGCCCAACATTTTTGTTGCCAAGTGAGAAATTAGTTGAGTTTTGCCCCATTTTATGACTTTCCTTGCCACATTTGTATAAGTGAATCATTGCAGTTCCTGAATTAGCAACATGGTTGTTAAGTGAATCTGGCTTCCCCATTAACTTTGCTTGTCAGAAGGTCACAAGTGGAGATCACATGACCCCAGGACACGGCAACTGTCATAAACATGAGCCACTTGCCAAGCATTCAAATCTTGATCATATGATCATGGGGAGGCTGCAATGGTCGTAAGTGTGAAACATGGTCATAAGTCACTTTTTTCAGCGCCGTTGTAACTTTGAACGGTCACTAAATGAACTGTTGTAAATCGAGGACTACATGTATAATCTCAGATGTTACTGCAACTTCTTAGTTGCAGAAACTCAAGTGCTCTATCTGAAGGACCTTTTTGCTTCCAAAGCCCAGCACAGTCCTTCCTAATCACAGTAATTATTTATACTAATGAATTTACTTTTTCCCATTGATTAGTCTTTCAATAACATTGTAGAAAGATCCCCGGTTCTATTTCAACAGCACAACACCCCAATAAAAAGGGTTCGATCCAAATGGTCAAACCTGTCTTCGAACCTCATAATTAAATACACCGAGTTATAAAAATGATTAATTTCATTAAACTTTTGTTTCCTGGCATCAATATTGAAATAAGACAAGTAATAGCCACTGGTAGAAAAAAACCCGTCCTGGGCAATTAGCTCCTTTTCCAGAAAATAAAGGGGGAGTATAGGAAATAACGCCAGTCATTAAAAAGCACTGAACCATCCTTCTCAATACCAGTTTTAGAGACAGAAATTGGAAGATGCTTTCCATTCATACCCTACTTACAAAATTCCTCGACACAACTAGCAGGTCAACATGGGAAGACTAGAATACTGGGCCAGACAGCCCCGGGGGAATCCTGGGAGTTGAAGTTATACAACTTGTATAAAGTAGCCTTGGTGGAGCAGCGGACTAAAACGCTGTTAAATAGCACTTAGCTGCCAGCTGCCTGCAATTACTGCAAGTTCGAATCTCACCAGGCTCAAGGTTGACTCAGCCTTCCATCCTTCCGAGTTAGGTAAAATGAGGACCCGGATTGTGGGGGCAATAAGCTGACTTTGTATAAAAAAGAACACCGCTTGGGGGGGGCAAAAGCCCTACTAAGCAGGTATATACAAAAGTATGAAGGCTATTGCTTAAAAGCATTGTAAGCCACCCTGAGTCTTCGGAGAAGGGCGGCATATAAATCGAACCAATAAATAAATAAATAAACTTTGCCAGGTGAGTGACACAGACCTGATCCAACATAGCTGTTCTTCTGTACTTCATCAGTATAGCTTTAAGTTATTGCTTAAAAGCAGTTGTACCAGCTACTGTAGTAAGTGGAAATTCACCAATATATGTTGTGTGTATGCACTAAGCTGCTTCCCCACCCCACCCCACCCCAATCATTTTACTTGCTCTAAGCAAAGGGAAAAATTTGCCTTGGGGGTTTTTTAAAGTGGAAATGACATACTCCCTGCTTTTGGATGTCTCTTCCCTGATGAAATGGCAGTATAAGTTGGGACAGGGGTGGGCAACTGTGGCCCTTTTACAACCTGTGGACTTCAACTCCCAGAATTCCTGAGACAGCCAAGCTGACTCAGGAATTCTGGGAGTTGAAGTCCACAGGTCATAAAGGGGCCATATTTGCCCACCCCTGAGTTGGGAGAAAAGTGGGTCGGCTGAATAGCAATGAATGGCCACTGCTGGCCTAGTCTTTGAAGGGATGTAGCATGCTGCAAAGCACTAGATCTTTTAGCTGGGAATAAAGGACGATTGTTGACTTAGAGACCTATAAAAGAACCTGGTTCTCCCTCCCCCCCCCTTTTAAAACACTCCACCCCAACTGTTTTTGAGTCACGGTTTCGTGCTTTGATCATTCTTGCTTATGCTATTTACAAATCGCATCAACCTTAGAAGACTGTGACATAAGAAGCAGAGGCAATCAGGGCCTCGTGTAAATCTGAATTATAGAGCAGGGGCCTCCAACCATGGGCAACTTTAAGACCTGTGGACTTCAACTCCCAGAATTCCTCAGCCAGCAAAGCTGGCTGAGGAATTCTGGGAGTTGAAGTCCACAGGTCTTAAAGTTGCCCATGGTTGGAAGCCGGTTATAGAGCCATAGGGCCAAGGAATCCCCACTTAGGTTAAGCAGCTTCCCAGTAAATTGCTGTGCATTGACCACTATGCCTGCTGCCCATCTTAAATCCTGCTAGCCTCCCTACAAATCCTGCGATTAGGCACCTCTTTTTTTTAGATCCACCAACTGAAACGGATCGCGAGCCTGTTTATTCTGTTCAGAGTCCCCCGCGCCTTAAAACGCCTAGACGTTCACTGGACCCGACAGCCATTTCGTGACACAAATCTTTCGCCCCCCACCAGCCAGATCCGGGCCTAGACCACCTTTCCTTCCCTTCAGCCCGCTCCCCGACTGCTTCAGGCGGGAGGATGGACGCGGATCCTCCGAGATCGTTTTGGGATCCCAAACGAAAGAACTCACCTTCGTTGGGTTTGCGCCGCAAAAGACCGCGCCGGAAGAGGGAGAGTCGAAGCTGCGCGCGCAACAGAAACCCGCTTCCGCTACAGTCATCCCACGACCATAGAGAGGAGGGCCAGAGTGGGATCCTGGGCTCAACGGGCAAAATGGCGGAGCGCTGATTGCTTTTTCAAATCCCGGGTCAGGCGAGAGCGATGAAGACGGTGACCATGGAGGCTGGGATGGGTCCGATGCCGGTGCCCCGTGCAGAACTGAAGCTGGTCCGACTGTTGAGCCGGTGCGAGGCGATGGCGGCCGATAAACGAAATCCGGACGAGTGGCGGTTGGAGAAGGTCCGGAGGGCTGGGTGGGAAATGCGGCGCGTTTTTGCATGACTGCAGGCGGACATTGGACCAGAGTGTATTTTTTTCCCCTCTCTGCATGGAAGCGCTGAGCGGCCTGCTTGCGCTATTTAACCGAATTGCGGCTTCTGCTATATGAAATAAATGAATAATTTGCTTTTAAGTAAGAGATCGTCCCGTACCATTAAAAAGCCTGGCTGCAATACTGAATTGTGAATCTTTTGACAGCAGCCAGAATTGTATTTGCTAAAAATTGGAAAGGAGAAAAGTTACCTAATGATGAAGAAATTATTAAGAAAATGATGGAATGTGCTGAGATGAGTAAATTGATATTTGAAATAAGAGAGCAGGAAGATAGACAATGTTATTTGATCTGGGATTTATTTTACCAATGGATAGAGAATAAGAATTGGAAATAATTATGATATAAATGGATGTTGAAATCTTTGGAAATAAGCTAGCATGTTTAGTGATAAATTGAAGAGAGGAGGAGCACAAAAAAATGCCACCGACTGAAACACTGTCTTTGATTGTATGGAATGATAATGGTTTTTTATATTCTGTTTTGTTTTGTTTTTTTGAAAAATAAAAAAAACTTTAAAAAAAAAAGCCTGGCTAGTTGGCTAAGACACTTGTCGGTCAGAAACTTCGGTGGTTCGAATCCCTAGTACAGGTCTCTCCTGCGTGACCAGGGGGTTGGACTAGATGACCTCCAAGGTCCCTTCCAACTCTGTTACTGTTAAAAGTCCATTGTATTCCTTTATGGCAGGATGTTTGCATTTGCAACGTTCAGTAGTCTCTGGCTGGGTTTTTTGGAACATGTCAGAAGTGTTTCCTAGCGATTACGTGGACATTCCCGTGTTTGGCTTTGGCTGAACCTTTGGAGCAGTTTGCCACCGGCTTCTTCATCCAGTTTTTTTTCTTTCTTTCTTAACTTCCTAATCTAATTGCAGCTGTGGAATATCCTGGTTTCCCATCCAAATACCTGCTCCATCTGATATTGTTAACTGTTGAAAATCAGGCTTGCTTAACTAAGTGCAGCTGCTTGCTGTTCATGTTGGAAGCTACTCTTAGTTTTAGCCCAACTTGCAATTGACTTGTGCTCACATATTGCGTTAATGCATGATTTGCATTGTATAAATTACAATTTGATCTGATTCACCTAATATGCCATAAATTTTGTTTAACAAACCGCAGTGCTTGTTTGCATAGCACACTAAGTTCAAACAAATATTATTTTGGTTTATATTTATTTATTTACTTATTTATTTTTATATGCTGCCCTTCTCCGGAGACTCAGGGCGGCTTACAGTGTGTTAAGCAATAGCCTTCATACTTTTGTATATTTATACAAAGTCAGCTTATTGTCCCCACAAACCGGGTCCTCATTTTACCCACCTTAGAAAGGATGGAAGGCTGAGTCGACCTTGAGCCTGGTGAGAATTGAACTCGCAGTAATTGCAGGCAGCTGGATGTTAAATGCTGCCTTAGTAGGAGGCATTAGCCTCCTATGCCACTCAGGCTCCTATATATAGTTCACACTATATATAGTGTGAACTAGGTCAGTAGGAACCCTGTTATAATTTTTTTTCAAATTTTTCAATCCAGCTTTGGCCACTATGATACAGAAAAGATGTTGAGACTCTAGAAGGAATGCAGCCAAACAATAAAGATGATTAGGAGGAGGGAAACTAAAACATTTGCACTGTTGCGGGAACTATGTCTTGTCTAAGAAGAGAAGGATTAGGGGTGACATGATAGTAGTCTTCCAATATCTGAGGGACTGTTGCAAAGAAGAGAGGGTCAGATATTTCCCAAAGCACTTGAGGGCAAAACAAGACATAAGGGATGATAATTTATCAAGGAGAGATTCAACCTAGAATTAAGGATAAATTTCCTGGCAGTGAAAACAATCAGTGGAATGTCTTGCTTCCAAAAGTTGTGGGTGCCCGCTAAGAAGAGATTGGACAGCCATTTGTCCAGAATGGTATAGGGTCTCCTACTTTGAGCAGGGGGTTGGACTAGAAGACCTCCAAGGTTCCTTTCAACACTGTTATTCTATTTATTCATTCAACAAATTATAGTTAAACCTGAGTTCACATAAAATGCTGAGCCAAGGAACTACAGTATGTTAATACTAGCATACTGTACTTGTCCTACTGCTGCTTTTCTGTTTGATGTTCATGTTTTATTTGAATCCTCAGAGGTGTTTAGTACAAAAGGATTATTTCCCAGACAAAAAAGGTTAGCAAATTACATAGGATTTCTGCATCTTTTAAAGAAATGTAATTTTAATATAATATGTTTATACTCATAAAGTGCATTAATTTCCCCAGCCGATTTAATAGAATAACTCAGCAGTAAATTTTCATTATAAAAATTTGCTTCTTTGGCATCTGTTTCTTTCCTTTGCTTTCTGATCTAAAAATATTCATGAGTACTCATGAATATTCATGAGATAGATGAACAGCTATATACTGATATTGATTGTGCACGCTGTATGATGGTTAGACTGCCAATCTCCACTGGGTGTCTCCCTCAGTCCAACAAACAACTGATAACCGGCTTGTTATTTTGTGATGGAAGAGATGGGAGGAAATGAGCCTTTTACAATATGAGGTTGCCACGTCATGGAGTCCACTGAGTGTCAGGGTGGTGCAGGTCTTGGCCTTGAATTAGCAACCCCCATTCAGATACTGGCTATTAAATTTTAGGATAGTCAGTGCCAAGAGACTTACTCTTAATTAAATCCACCTTGGAAAATGTAAATGTAAATGTGCCAATGTATTACTGTCATTTAGGAAAGCTTTTTCAACTTTTTTTTCACTGAAAAAAAAGCATGGCTTATGTAAAATCAATTAAAAGCCAATTTCTGCCCCACAGTCTAAAGGCTGAAAACAGAAAGAGGAAAACAACCAGATACAGGCATCAAATTGTCAAGGCATAATTTTAATACTGACTGCTTGGAATGGAATGACCAGCTGACCATCATTTGTTTCCCTACGAATAAAGAAAGACATTCCCTTTATTTTTATTTATTTATTTGTTTGTTTATCAAATTTTGAAACCACCCATCTTCACAGAGGAACTCTGAGCAGTGTACAAGTAAAGCATTGTTTTCTATTATTAATATTTAATCCTAAATCCTTTCAAATATTGATTTCTATTTCAGAACGTAGCATTGAAGAAGAAAAAATGCCCTAAAGCATATAACATACTTGTGTACAGTATTCCACAGCCTGTTAATTTAGTTCACTTGTCATTGACAGAGACTCGGGTTTCATGATTTAGAGTTTTTGCAGCCTGCTCAGAAACTAAACATGATTATGAAGTCATTGGTTAACGGAGAGCCAGATCAGATGGTAGCAGTCAAAATATAGTGTCATAATTGTGAGGCTAAAAGACAATCCAGTTTTGTTATTGTGTCACTTCACATTCTGATGCAGAGAAGGGATTTGATGTGAAATCTAGGATTGGTTATTAGCAAACGATGCTTACTTCATTGGAATAATTTTTCATCATACTTCCTTGGGATGTAGTTTCTAGATAGTTACATTTTTTAAAAAAACCCTCCCTCTCTTTTTTTACAGATTGATGTTCTTAAACTGAGAGAATCTTACAGCACTTTAAAAATAAGCACATGTATTAACAGTGTAAGCTTTTATGAATCATAATACAGTAAATTTGATGAAATAGATTGTGTATTTGTTAGTTAATACAACTTTAAGTTGCAGGCACAAGACCTAGTTATTTTTACTGTGGCATGCTAACAGAACTGCATCTGTAGAAATCCCATGACTGTTTACTCAAAAACAACTGCTGAATGCACTAGGAGTTAGTGTGTATGTTGGCATTGCAGCCTAAGTTTTTCTAACTTGTAGAATATAGTCAGAAGCTCAGACGACTTTTAAAACAAAGGTGATATACCTTGTAGATTCTTAGCAGGTAAAGGTTATTGATTGCTGTTAACATTGACAGAACGTTCTGTTCAGAGGCAATTTCCCTGTTTCAAAAACTGGAATTAAAGGGAAGTAGCTATCAATCTTATAGCTAGTTCATGGTCCAAGCTTAGTCTGATTCATTATCAGGAAGTAGCCACTATGAGTGCCACTTCTTGACTATCGGTGGGCTTCTCTTGTCATTGCAGTCTGGAGCTCAGTTAAGATGACCTCTAAGACTTTGATTCGCATAACCTAAAGTCCATTGAGATGCCACCATTAGAATTTGGTGGCAAGGCTTCTATGAAGAAAGAAATACCAATTTCTGGCCATAGAGCGCTCAAAACATCACAGTGTTATCAACATTGCCGGCAGCCTCCTGTCTTGTTTGGAGATTGAAAGGCAGATTCCCCAGGCTGAAAACATTGCAGAAATCTATTGTGCACCATTAGCCTCCTCTATGAAGTCTTAAAATAGGCCTAGTAGTTCCAATTAGAAAAGGATTCTCTTTGCTGGAGATTCAGCATCATAATTCATCAATGCCAGAGAGCAGCACACTGGCTTTACCAGAACTGGGGAAGGGCTGTTGCTTTGTTCTGATGTTCTGGAAGGAAGCAGATTTTCAGTTTTACAAAGAAGCTCCCAGACAGGGATCTAGCTATGAACAGCCCACCTCTGGGCTGTTACTGGGTTAGGGTTAGGGTTAGGTTGCTGTTACAGGCATTACCTTTTTCTCTCCACTCCTCAGAGAAACGTCATTGGCTCCAGTGTGGCATTTGGCTTGATGCCCCCATAGCTTACTTTTTTGTTGTTGTTTTTCTTTTTTGGGGGGAGACATGTGGATTCCTGTTCACCTCTTAAGGGTGAGGGTGGAGGGCTGGAGGAAAAGGTGGGGTTGCTTTTACAATTGGAGGTACATGCTTTCATTTATCATTTTCCCCCTTATCTGCCAAATTCAGGCATATCAAGTTCTGGAAAACTAATTAGGGTTGGCATTTCCTCAGTCATTTAGGAGTAAGAGACGCTGCCCCCCTCCCCCAGGTTTCTCAGGTAAAATGGTAGTTTAAGGCAGGGCCTGGTGGCTCAGCAGACAGATAGCATTGTGATTAACACCAGCTGTCTGCAATTACTGCAGGTTCGAATTTCGCCAAGGCTCAAGGTTGACTCAGCCTTCCATCCTTTCTAAGGTAGGTAAATTGAGGACCCAGTTTGTGGGGGCAATAAGCTGACTTTGTATAAATATACAAAAGTATGAAGGCTATTGCTTAATGCATTGTAAGCCACCCTGAGTCTCCGGAGAAGGGTGGCATATAAATCAAATTTAAAAAAAAAAGAAAAGGCTGCATTTTGTTCCATCCTCACTATAGTCCTGGGAGGTAATGCTACAACTGACAGTAACACAATCAAGGTTACTTTCGCGTTTCATGCTTTAATGCAGTATTTTTCAACTTGGATGGCTGGAATTCAACTCTCAGAATTTTTTTCTCCCACAGAAAAGAAAACACCGGGAGCCACAAAACCTGGGTGGGCATGGCCAACTTGATATCATTCACGTCCACCAGTCACATGACACCCCCCCCCAGTCACGCCTACCCAGCCAGTCATTAGGGCAGAGAACCGGTTGTTAAAAAACACCAGGAACTACAAAACCCTTTTGACATCTCCCTCTCTCTCTCTCTCCCTCCCTCCCTCCCTCCCCCCTCTGTGTCTCTCTCTGTCTCTGCCCTGGCTGCTTCTCCATCCCCTGCCATCGCCCTTACCTTCTCAGGCCAGGCGAGGAGTGACTGGGAGGGGAGGGCGAGGGGTTGTGCCAGCCAGTGGTGGGATCACCCAACAGGAAGCCACAGCAGAAGGCCCAAAGAGCCACATGCGGCTCCAGAGCCACAGGTTGCTGACACACCTACTCTAGTGGTTTGCCCTGTCAGTGTTGGTAGTCTTGGAGATTCTTTAGTTGGGTTGTTTACTGTTGGCCTGTTTGGTAGTTCCTTGATTTGGGGTATTGTTTAGTTGATTGTTGGTCTGATGTTAACCTTGGAGTTAATCTATGCTTATTTGGGTGCTGATTGCTGGTGGGGAGGTGTGTTGGTTTTTTTGTTCCCTTTTTGGGTTGTTAATTTTCTCTCTTGCATAGTATGTAGATACTGTTTAAGTCTATGTGTTTATTGTTTGACTGATATCTATTAATTTATCAGAGTGCCAGGCTTCTAGAAATTCTCTAGCAGTTTTAGACTTGGCTTGTATTACTGGAGGCTAGAAGGCCACATTTGGCAGAATTGTGCTAATTATTCCAAATGTGCCATTTTGTTTTCTTCTTAGTACGTAGCTGCTCTGGAGGAGATGTTGCTCACATTGAAGAAACACTCCAGGTGAGTTGCTTTTTCTAGGATGTATATGGGTCTGCTTTGGTACGGATCCAATCCAATTTATAGTTCTAGGAAGGTGAAATAGGGTGGATAGATAGACGTCACATCAACTGGAATCTGGGGTTTTATGTTCAGAGTTTTAATGCCAGGCCTCTGACAATTCTGTCTTTGTAGGGAATATTAACCTTTGCTGGTAATCAATTCCATTTTAATTAGGTTATTTTGGCAAGCACAAAGTAATAATCAGATTTCACTTCTAGCTTCTGTGTGTCACATATTGCAAAAGATTCTTGGAAATGAACCTGGTGTAGGAAATGAGCCAGAAAATGACAGTATAGAACAGGAATTGGTGGCAATTCTTCATTGCCTCTAAGGAAAAACCTGAATCACTGTATCATAGATAGGAGATGTACAGCTTAAATTCCCATCATCCCTGACCATTGGCAATGCTGGGTAAGGAGATGGAGTTGGAAACCACAAATATATAGAAAATCAGTTTTATTTTTTTATTTTTAATTTCCTAATGTTGCTGTTGAATTGAACCATATCTTAGTTTCACTCCTGGTTAGACCGTCCTAGCTAATCCTGATGGCCTTCTCCACTTCATGAGGATGAGAAATGAGAGGAAGGTGTATGAGGAGTCCCAAAGGTGCTTTTTCAAGAGGCAGCTTGACTTTGTTTTTTCCTTGAAGACATTCGCACACAAGAAGCTTCTTTAGTTCTGTTCTGAAGAAGCTTCTTGGATGAGAAGCGAAACATCTTCAAGGAAAAAACAAAGGAAGTCCAGTTGCCTCTTGAAAAAACACTTTTGGGACAACCATGACCCGGATGACTGAGAAACCCCATAGAGCTTTTTTCTCTATACAGTAGTTCTTGTCTCAGATTTGTGATTCCCTTTCAGCAAACCAGCTCCTGAAGTACTGAATGAATATTCTCGTAAGGTGGATTTTTTAAAGGGCTTGCTAGAAGCAGAGAAATTGGTAAGCTCCTTGTTTGTGATTTTTCTTTTTTAACCCTTTTCGAGAACCTCTTCTCAAGTGACCCTCTGTTGGGAGAAGGTCAGTCATTAGGTACCTTTTGCTCTCTCTCTTTTTTTTTTCCAGTCATCCTCTTCTGAGAAGGCATTGGCAAATCAGTTTCTGGCTCCTGGGAGAACTCCTACCACTGCCAAAGAGCGGACCCCAGCAACAAAAACCGTGCATCTACAGACCAAGGCCCGCTTTATGGGCGAGATGAGGAATGAGCTGCTTGGTACAGTATGTCTTCTTAGCCAATAGTACAATCACACGTCCTAAAACAGTTCCTCTTCATTTTTGCCTCTGGGCATCCATTTGTTCAAGTTTCTGTAGTACTGCTTCCTTCATCCCAACTCTCTCTGCCTTCCCCCTCCCCATATGTTTTTTGGTGGTATAGCAATAGCACTTAGACTTACATACCGCTTCACAGTGCTTTTACAGCCTTCTCTAAGCGATATACAGAGTCAGCCTATTGCCCCCAACAATCTGCGTCCTCATTTTACCGACCTCGGGAGGATGGAAGGCTGAGTCAACCTTGAGCCGGTGAGATTCGAACTGCCAAACTTTTGGCAGCCGGCAGTCAGCTGAAGTAGCCTGCAATACTGCACTTTAACCTCTGCGCCACCACGGCTCTTATCTTTTATATCAAGGTCAAATAATTAACTGAGGGACCTTGGTTTCTTGATATAGGTGGAGCTAGTTGTCTCTTGATCTATGTAATGAAGTGGTATCTTACTCTCACTTTACTCTCATTTACTCTCACTAGAGGGCCTGAAATTATTTGGCAGAGGTCAAAAGATTAAAAATCGCAAAGACCCTTTCTTATGCCATTTATTACGGAACTCTTTATTTCTCCTCTCTTTCTGCCTTCCCAGGACCCTTCCTATATCAATGGTAAGTGTGTACTGATCATGCGGGGTGTGCAAAAGGACTCTGGAGGTTGCAGGACAAAATATTTAAACTCCCCAGCATTATGCAATATAATACATGATTATTTATATCCTACACTTCACTAGATTTCCCATTTTTTTCCTCATCTGGGATTGTAGCACTGTAAATTCCCAACTGATCGTTATGCCGAGTTGCCCTCTGATTGTCTTGAAAATTCCTGTCTGTAACCAGAAGCTGGATATGCCTGCTGCTGTCATTTTTTTTGGCCCATCACCAAATACTGGGAAAATGTCATTTTAAGTTATTATATGCCCCTCTTCACCCCTGATTCTCTGCCAGCTTGCCTTTTCCTTCCTTACTGCTGGCTTCCTCTTATGCATAAAAAAGTGGTGTAATTTCTGTTTGCATCTTTGCATCAATTCATATCTTTAAGATTTACCAAATAAACTGATTTCCAGGACAAGAGCATTTGTTCATTGCTTATACGTATAAATATAGCTATGGGTATAAATATTTTTTTCCCCTTCACAGATATGGAAGAGAAAAATTTAAGAAAACGCATGTGAGTATTTGGCGGTTTCAAGAAAAGGGGATTGGGGAAGTAAGAGTTGCAATCATTTTGTTCAGACTATATAAATACTTTGAAGTTTCAGGGAAATGGAAATTGGTAAGGGAAAAGAGGTAATACTTAAGAATAATTTTGCCCTGTTTAAAGTTCAAAGTAAACTAATTTTACTTTGAAAGTAAAACTTCCCTTAGTTCCATGGTTTCATGAGAAACACAAGCCTGGTTTTGTCTTATTTCTGTTGGGGGGATAGAAAAGTTCAGAGAGTTCTGTTCCTCAATAAATCCTCAACTATTTTGCCATTTCCAGCTTTGGGTGGAGTCTGTGATTACCTGCTTGCAATCACATTATACTGTACCTTGCGTTGTGGAATAGAGAGATAAATGCTTCTCTGTGGACCCCCTCACCCCCTCAAACTAGTCAACCCATGCCTATTTTCTTACCTAAAAGAAAAACAGAATGACCAGTGTGGGCAAAAAAGCAATGGAACAGGAGTGACTTCCAACTTCCTGCTGGCTTTCCCATTGAATTTCCTTCTAGGAATCTGGTAGAGAGTATCCAAAATCTTCCCTTCCCTCCCGTTCCGTTCTGATAGTTAAGTGGCTTCTGTTGGGTGGGTGAGGGGAGCAAGGGATTGCAAGACTGGCTGGGAAACTGTGATCATAGCAGTCAGTAGCATTGAACGAGCCACAACTTTGAGAAAGTTCCCATGGGTTCTGGATTTGGGGCATATTCTGTAAATTAGCACAGAATAGGTTCAAAAATTGTTACTCTATGATGCCCCATTTCACCCAATTAAACAATACCATAAGAGTTTTAGTAGTATATAAAAGCTATATTTGAGTATCCCTCTTCAAGATGCAAAGAGGAATGCAGTTGCATTAAACAGCTTCACACAGATACTGCACTCGTGATGGAGCTTTTCTTTTGAGCTGACATGGGCATGTAGCATCTTCTTATCCTTTCTCGTATTCTGGGCTTTTTATGAAACATACACAATTGGCACCAAAAGCCAATTGTACATAAGCAGTCTTTTTAAGGTGTGCCAATAAGGAGATCTCTCTCTCTCTCTCTCTCCCCCCCCCCCCCCCCCAGTACTCCAGTTCCTGATGAGAAGCAGTCAGCTGCTGAACTGGATGCAGTCCTGCAGCACCATCACACCATCCAGGAGAAGTTAGCTGAAGAGATGTTGCACCTGGCACGCAATCTCAAGAACAACACTCTTGTGGCACAGAATGTGATCAAGCAAGATAACCAGGTACAGCCTGACACTCCTCCCCCCTCCCAAGTGTGAATTCTGTACAGTTATTTTGTAATTGTGTCTAATTTTGAGAAAGTGCTTTGTCCTTGCCAGAGCATTACGGGCAGAGCCAAACAGTACTTGTTGGCATGGCACTCGAGCACTATAAGTTTCCCCTTTCCTGAAAAAGCATTTTTTGTTGAGTTTCTCCAAAGACGTGATGTGCAATCAAGCAACGTTTTGCACCTTCTCCTGCACCTGCCCGCATTTTGCTGGTTTTCAAAACATTGACACTTTATGATTTATTTCAGACCTTGACGCAGTCACTCAAGCTGGCTGACCATAACTTTGAGAAACTGAAGAATGAATCAGATCGCCTGGAACAGCATGCCAAGAAATCTGTCAACTGGCTTCTGTGGCTAATGTTGATCGTTGTCTGTTTCATTTTCATCAGCATGATCCTGTTCATCAGAATCTTCCCAAAACTAAGATGATTCCTGGGCTGGTGTCAGCAGCAGCAGCAGCCTGGCACCTTATCTTCTTCATTTAACCCATCAAACCTTGCTGGGCTTTTGTAACTTGGTGAAAATGCTCAATGGGAGAATAATTTGGTTGCAACAAGTTCATAGAATCTAAGCTGAAATGTTTTCCTCCTGCTTGAAAGACTGAATAGGAAAGCTTCTGCATTGTTATAGCAGGATTAAGCAATTTATGGGATTTATGCAACAACCCCAGAAGTTCCTGTTTTTATGGCCTACAGCCCCCAAAGGGGTGGCACCATATTTTAAATAACAAAAGCTAAAGGGAGGGGGGGAAGCAATAGAAGTGGAGCTTCTGAATTTAACATATCTATTTAGAAGCAAATAATCCTGTAAGGAATGTGGTGACCCACTGTGGGGGCAAAATAGTAACAAATCTTTTGGTTAGCAAAAGTTTTCCATTCCTGAATTACAATGCAACAAAGGCTTCTCCTTGCTGCTGGTGAGAAGCAGAGTTAGGTGAATTGAAAATAGAAGGTCACTTCACCTACTGTGGTTGGGGTGCGGGGAGGGGTTGAAAGAGAAAAAGATAATACTTAGCTGTTCTTAATGACTTTTCTTTCACAGATCAGTCTCTACAATATTGTTTTGATCATTGGGTTCACTGACAAACAACCCTGGGCTATAGACGCTTTCCCAATTTTCTTTGCTTTGGAATGCTGAAATACTCCTTCATGAATATATTTGCTAGTCCCCCCTGCTTCTGGGGACTATGTCTTTGTGGGAGATGGTTACATTTCTAGGGAGACGTTCATGACAGATTGGCAGTTAAGTGACCTTGAAGAATGAAAAGGTGGCACTGTTAAGTCTTTGGAATCAGTGCTGCTTGATGGAGGGCCTCCACAAATTTGGATGTTGAGGCAATATAAGGCTGAGGGCATCCCCTTTTTTCATTTGATATATTAACTGAGAGGAGACTGTAAGGGAAGAATTCAGATTTACCAATTGAAGGTAGATTGGGCCTCATCTAAACATAGATGTACGTTTGAGAATGAATTCATGGTCGTCTGGACTGTGGATGTTATTCCTTTGCACATTCCAAAAAAATGGTAGAGCAAAGAAGTGGGTGAGTGGAGGTATTTTATGGGCATTTTTCATTAACAACCATCCTGAAAGTACCGCACCAGCAGTGTGGTTAATAATCTGTAGGAAACAGCAACTCCCCCCCAATTGGGCCTCAGCATTTTAACTTGGCATTTACCCAACAGAAGGGATGGGCACAAAAAAGTGCAATCCCTTCAGGGAGAGGAGTGTCGCTGCCTTTGCTGCTCACACAGAAGCTGCTACTGCTGTTGTGCTGTAATTTCTGAGCCTGTTCCCCCATTTCCTACCCCCTACCTCCCCAGTTAAGAAGTGCTGACTTGGAGTCGGCTCATTAAGCTGTAGATGAGGCTGGCAGTTAACCCGAACTGCCTGTATGCTTGTTGCATTGTCAACTTCCATGTCACAACTTGCACGTTATAAATTGTTGTAACTCTGATGTATTCTCTTGCAAGTTGCCTGCAAGAGGCTCTTTGCGGTAAAGGCTGAGCCTTGTAAACCTTGAGAAGAGAGCTTTGCTACTTTCCTAGTGTCATAAACATATGGTAAGATCATGGAAATGTCAAGCTGCTGGATCAGAATGCAACTTTTGGCCTTCGCTAAGATAAAAGAACCTGACACAAGACCAAATCTTGGTCCACTGCAGTTGGGTAGCCAATAAATTTAAATTAACAAAAGCCTGTATTGGATCAGCACTTTTCTAGGGCAATATTTTCCACGTAGCTATTTTAAGAGGTGTGGACTTCAACTCCCAGTATACCACAGCCAGCAATGTACCCATCCCTTCTGCTGTGTAAAAGCTGGCTGGGTTATTCTGGGAGTTGAAGTCCACACCTCTTAAAATGGCTAAGATTAGAAACGGTGCCCTAGGCCTGCAGAAGAGAGGTCAGTCACCATCACCTATCGGGAACTGATCATGAAACCTACATGCCCCCATGTGCTCTACTGCTGTGTGATGATTTTCCAGAACTTTGTTTGCTTTGGCAATTTGGCTTCTGCCATTTCCATTTTTGCTATTACTATCACAATAGAGGATCTGATATTTCCTGTCTAAGCCAAAGAAGCTTGGAAAGATTTTCCTTATATAATCTGCCAAGGATCTCCATGCTTCCTGCTGCTTCCTATCAGTAGCTAGGAAGGGTAAAGTTGGAAGATGATGCAGATGTGTACGTGTTTCCAGGTTCAGTACTTGCCAGGAGATTTGGGGAACAGGGGAACATTACGTTCCAAGCTTTCAGTTATAGAACTGGTGACAAACAAGGATATCCTTTGGTTTAGGGAGTTAGATTTAGAAAGTGGATGTCAGATATAATACAAAACTGGAACATCAATATTGCTATATCTTTCCGGAAGTATCCTTGCCCCAATACTGAAAGAACGTCAGTGTTTGGAAAGTCCACCCATCATGTATCATTATCTTGAATTGAGATTATTTGTGGGAATCCAACTGATCTCCCCAGATTTAATCTGGTGATTTTGCACCATGGTTGTAAAAGTGACATTTGTTGACTCTTAACCCTGCAACAGGCAAAAGGATGGCAATGAAAGTTTTGCATATATCAAGATTCCTGATTTAAGTGGGTGAAGTCAGGCATTCAATAAGAAACAAAAATCTCTTATGTTGATGTGGGAAACAGCAATAAATCAAAAGAAAAAGAAAAGAGGGAAATCTCAAAAGCACCTTGTTGCTTGCATGATTTAGTAGTTGTACTAAAAAAAAAAATGAAATCGCCCTAACCAAGGGGAAATTTTAGTTGTTATTAAACGAGGGTGGGCCTGGCATGGGAATTGCCTTCTTCCCTCCTTACTGCCAAGACAGCCCATTACATCTGGCCTCATGGGACTTAACAGCAATGAAATGAATCAGTTTCATGCATAAATTCAATTGTTACTGGCTCCAAACCATTGTATAGTGTGTTATCTTGAAAACTGTGCAATAGTTGTTTTGTGTGGTTTTAGTCACAGTGGGAATGGCTGACAGTGTCAAATCTCAAGGGTGGTGGTCAGCTTGATGTATAATGGGAGGTTTTAGAAAAGAGGGCAAGAAATCTTATCGTGGAAATTCAGGTATCATGATACTTGGACTGATTCCTGGACTCTAAGCACGTTGACACAAATATGTTATTTCTCATGTGCTAAGTTTTCTAGGGAATTGGGATGGCTTGCAGCTCATTATTAAAGCTAGCCTCAATTCATGCTATAAGAAACAAGAAAAATTAAACCCATCTAAATGATATTCCTTGTTGTAGAATCAGAGTTGAAAGTAAAAGCTGCTCAACAGTGTAACTAAAAATGGCAGGGCCCCTTTTATTGTGTATGTTCAGACAGATTAGATAGCTATTTGTTGGGAATACCTGATTTCGGATTCCTGTACTAAGGCAGGGGGCGGGGACTTGATTGCCTAAATGACTGCCAATTCTGATTTTATTAATCATTTGTCCATTGAATCCAACTCAAGAATCCAAATTGAAGCAATTTGGCTTTCTAGTCTTTGCTTTAGTCAGTAAACCACTTTCCGCAATTGTCTAGTGTTACTATTGAACTGCTTTTTTTCTAAGATTTATTCAAAATATTAACAAATATGTCCTGGTCCTGGGATGATGGGTCAGGTCTCCTATCTTGGAGTCCTATAATTGTTGCTCTGAGTATTTAAAATTAAGTACTGAGGTGCACATTCCACTCTTTTCAGCTTTAATTTCCCTTAAAATTCATTGTGATTTTGTCTACATTTTCCATATGGAATTTTAAAAAAAGGATTATTGCTGTTTTCCTTCACCCACTAAAAAAAATTACAGTATCAAGGCAAATTAGGAATTTCCTGGATGAAGTAAGTTTGGCAGAATTTGCTCCCAACAGATATCAGCATAAAGGAAACATTTTATCACACTTTAAAAGATCTGCCACTTACTCAAGAGTAAAAATCATCACATGTTCTTCATTGGACAGGCAATACCTTTTTCTAATTCTTCTGTTTATTATAAACTTGTATATTTCAGCTGCTAGTTTCTGCTACAGTTATTATTTTGAAATTCATGTTATTTCGCGTACTCTGAACATTATTGAATAGTCAAATAAAAGCTGTAAACTCTGCCAATGTTCATTTTGATTTTTCAATACTTCATTAGATGAAAATATAGCACTATTCTTGTTTTCCTCTAAAATGTACAAACTATTATCTGAGGTATTTATATTAGCCCTTGGGATTGTTTGAAATCTTATTAAAGCTTGTCATATTTCAGCCAAACACAATTTACTACTTCTGTGAAGTGCAACTGATTTCATGTCAGCAGTTCAACATCCACATAATTCAGACCATGACTCCAGAAACAAATATAGGATCACAGTATTGGAAGGACTTTGAAGGTCTTAGTCTAACCTCCTGCCCAAGGCAGAAGTCCTCATTCGATCGCAGACAAATGGTTGTCAATCTTTTTTTGAAAGCTGGCTACGATGGATCACCCAAACTCCAAGAGGCAAGCTGTTCCATTGCTTAATAGTCCTCACTGTCAGGAAAGCTCCTTTCCTTTACCCGTTCTCCATAGGAATTAGCCTCCAGCTGCCCTCTTACCATATTTGTTGCCCCTCTCTCTTTTTCTAGGGCCTCAGCATCTTTTTTATACAGGTAGCAAAATTCAGGGGTGAGATTCAACTGGTTTGAACCAGTTCAGGCGAACCAGTAGGGACAATTTGAATCGGTTCGCCAAATCCTAAAAAACACCCCTGGTTGGCCCTGCCCACCCCCACCTGGTCACCACTCACCCCGCCCTATATATGTTGCCTTTGCCACGCGACCCAGCCAGTCACCTTGCCAGTCACCTCACCCGCTCAGCTCACCAAAGGTAAGCAATGCATGCTTCCTGCTCACCCTTCATCTTGGTTGGGGGCTGGGGCCCAGGGATGCGCCATTCCCCGAGGCCCTGAAGTTGCCACCCGCCTCGACCGGGTCGGGAAACGTGCGATTCCCCGGCTCCAGCCTTGCCCTGGAGCCACTGCTCGCTCAATGCCTGCTCGCCCTCTTCCTCACCTACCTTCACGCCTGGGGGGGGAGGCATGGAGAGGCGAGGCTGCCTTACAAACCGAGAAAACAACCAGTGGTTGTTTTCGGCTGCCTTCTGAGCAGTTCTCAAATTAGTAACATGGTTGTTAAGTGAATCTGGTTTCCCCGTTGGCTTTGTCAGAAGATCACAAAAGGGGATTACGTGACTTTTGGACACCGCAACCATACATGTGAGTCAATTATCAAGCATTCAAGTGTAGATCATGTGACCATGGGGATGCTGCAATGGTCATGAGTGTGAAATAGCAATAGCACTTAGACTTATATACCGCTTCACAGTACTTTACAGCTCTAAGTGGTTTACAGAATTAGCATATTGCCCCCAACAATCTGGGTCCTCATCATAAGTCACTTCTTTCAGTGCCATTGTAATTTTGAACGATCATTAAATGAACTGTTGTAAGTCGAGGACTACTTGTATTGTGACCATGACTGGATGCAGTATTCTCTGTGGTCCCACCAGTGCCATACAGAGCAATATTATCCTTTCCCTTGATCCTGATACTATCCCTTTATTGTTGCAGCCCAGGATAAAGCAGCCTTTTCAGTAAAGCACACTGCTGAATCATAATTGAGCAACAGTCCACCAGGACATCTAAATCCTCATCGGCATTAGTGTTGACCCAATTACTGCCTAATATGTTCTTATGCACCTGGTTTTTGATGCCTAAATGGATTCCCATTTCTCATCACTGACTGCGTCTTGTTGACTAGGCCCAATGATCAACTGTCAGGTTTCTTCTGGATCTTAAACTTATCTTCCAAAGTGCTAGCAATTCTCTCTAGCTCTATGTCATCTGCAAATTTGATGATCCCTTCAATCTTCTCATCTAGGTTATTTATGAAGATGTTGAAGAGCACTATGCTGAAGACAGAACCTTGAGGATCTCCACTGCATGCTTCTTTCCACATAGATGTAGTTCCATTAAGAACCACCTCCCTCAAAGAGTTGGTTAGCCAACTGCAAATTCATCTTGTAGTGGTACTGTCTATTCCACATTGTTCAATCTTGCCAAGAAGTAGGCTGTGGTTTGCTTTTATCAAATGCCATAGAGATATCCAAGTATGTTATATCCACAGCATGTTGCTCGATTGCTTTTTCTAGGATTTTGCCACAGGCTGATTGGTCTGTAGTTTCTCAATGATCTCTCCCATTGATACAATAAAGTTAGCCATCTATTTGCAGCATTATTTCTTGTCCCAGCGACTGGAAAGATGGATGAGAATGCCACCAGATCCTCCAGGGTCTTCCTGCTTAGGTCAGTAAAGGTCATGGTGATCGTTTTAGATACTCTTTCTTACGTGCTTCAATGCCATTTGGATCAGCTAAACCTTGGGAGTTGTTCTCTCACACCCCTGTTCTTGGCTGACAGCATACTATTCAAACCGATACTCTTAAGAATTTGAACAAAACACGATACTTAAGAAATCATTATGTTCTGGGCTACAAATGTGAATACAGAAGTAGGAGAATAAAGATATGGCAACTGTTTCCATTAGTTGCCAGAAAATAAATTACAATATACTGAAGGGAGCACAAATGTCTAAGGATCCTGTTAAATACAATAATAGGGAGCTGGTTTGTTTTTGATTTAGTATGTCAAATGAACACTGTAACTGTTGCCACTGTAGTTTGTAAATCTTCGTTTCTAAATCAATATAAAAATGTTCAACTTTTTCTGGCTAGAATATAGATATCCTCTCCCTTTAAAAAAATGACCTTCAAGGATTGGAGGAGATACATTGACCAAAGGGTATGGTATGGTACTTGGAATTTTCAGTTCTTTTTAAAACACATGGAGAGTTTTTAAAATCCTAAAATAGATATACTAAGCCTCCTGGAGTTCACCAACGCTATTGTTTAAAGTTAAAGTTTTGTCTTTTAACACTAATTCTGAGAGTACTGCACTAGTTGCCCATGGGATACCAAGCCCATTCAAGATGTGGATATTAGTTTGTAAAGCCTAAAGGCTCTAGACCACAACGTTGTGTCACATGATGTATTACCACATTTTTTTGTGTATTGCATCCAGCCCATGGGCTGCCAGTTTGACACCCCTGATCTAGACCAACTCCAGAGAGTCCTCAGCTTACAACCATTTGTTTAATGACTGAAGTTAGAACGGCACTGAAAAAGTGACTTAGGACTGGTTCTCACATGACTGTTGCAGCATCCCCATGATCACGCGATCAAAATTTGGATGCCTGGCAACTGACATGCATTTATGACAGCTGTCTCTGGGTTATGTGATCACCATTTGCGTCTGGGTTTATGATCACCTTCCTAGCCAGCTTCCAACAAGCAAAATCAATGGGGGAAGCCAGATTGGCTTAACGACTGCATGAATCACTTAACAACTGCTGTGATTCACTTAGCAACTGTGGCAAAAAAAATCATAAAATGGGATATAACTCACTTAACAACTGTCTTGCTTAACATTGGAAATTTTGGGCTCAGTTGTCCACCATGACAGCTTAATTATGCAGGTCTCTCCAAAGAGAAGTTCAGCTGTCCACTTTCGGAAAACAAATGAGAACATCTTGTCAGCAGATACTTAACAAGTTCTGTAAGTGGACAACAAATACCAGTAGTCCTTCTTGAGTTACAACGGTCATTTAATGACTGTTCAAAGTTACAACAGCACTGAAAAAGTGACTTTGGACCATTTTTCATAGTTACAACCTTTGTAATATCCCTATGATCATGTGATCAAAATTCAGATGCTTGGCAATTGAGTCATACTTATGACATTGCTGTCTCTCAAGGTCATGTGATCACCTTTTGCAACCTTTTGACAAGCAAAGTCAATGGGAAAGTTAGATTCACTTAACAACTGAGTTACTAACTTATCAACTGCAGTGATTCACTTAACAACTGGCAAGAAAGGTCGTAAAATGGGACAAAACTCACTTAACAAATGTCTCACTTAACAACAGAAATTTTAGGCTCAATTGTAGTTATAAGTCGAGGACTACCTGTACTCCAAGACCAGATTACTTACAAGTCTGTCTTTTATTTCTTTTTTCCTGTTATTAAAAAAATAAACTTTGCTTCTAATTTTTTCATTTTATGTTAAAGTATTGCTTTTGTTTTTATAGTCACCACTAATCACTTGACAGCCCAAACTAGTGTTGACTCAGTAGTATGACCTGCACAAAATTCTGCTTGAAATGGGCCAGTGAGATTCTTTACTGCTAGGTAAATAAGAACTGAGAAAGGACAAATCACCCAATAATCGAGGACAAAATAAAACAGAAGATACTAGATAAGAACTAGAACAAATCAAAGCATCACATGAAGGGATTTTAAAAGATGGTGAAGATTTAGGTACCTTTCAGAGGTACCTTTCAGAGAATTTAGAAAAATGTCTGTCATAAGAGAACAAGTCTACTTAAGAATTGCAGAAAAGGAAGAAGAGTTATTAAAGGGAAAGAAGGAAAAAGTTTCAAATAACTTCTGAAACTTACTGGGTTACCAGTAACTGAAGAAAACAAAACAAAACAAAATAAAAACTAGAAAAATCTGGGGTAACAGAAACAGCAAGTACTGCAAGTCTTGCAAAGGAACAGAAGCCTAGAGTGCTTAATTTCTTCTGAAACGATTGCATTAAACATAGAGGAACTTTAAATAGCAGTATGTAGTAAATACGAGAGGCCAAGACATCACAAAAAATGTCCACGGGACTTGGCTTGAACACATGAAATTTTGGCTTATTCCCATATGGCAAAAAATGAGTAGCAGCTTTATGAAAGGAATCACTATTGTCAGTAGATAAGTATTTTCTATTTTTCTGTTCTACTTTATCAAGATGAATTTGAAAATTTTATAAGTTTGGAGTCAGCCATGGATGAGAATTGTTTTTTCAGGTTGATTTTTCAAAGGGTGGAATCAAAAGATCAAACATGGCTCAAATGGCAAAATTAAAAGCCATTGTCAGCCCCTCAGGAGATTCAACTTCAGATGAAGTCAATTGAGAAGAAAGAAGAGCCAATAGTCTGTCATAAAATGAACAGAGAGAAGTGAATCAATATG